GAGCTCAGACAGCGGCGCTGGCAGGAGGAGGGCCAGCCTGATGCCACTGACGCGATCGAGCACTACACCAATCGTGCCAATGCGCTCCGAGACGAAGTCCACCAAGTCGAGAAGCTACTGGCGGACACCCTCAACGAGCAGTCGGGGCAAGGCGGCGGCCAGAACGACCAGCCTGCAGCCGAGTTCGGTGAGGACCACGCTGGGCTGACTGGGGCCAGCCACGGTAATCCCAATGGTATACAGGTGGAGAACGCTGACCCGAGCAGAGCGACGCTGAAGGCGGAGCGGCTGGCGTCGCTGCGAAAACTGCGCTGGCAGTTGCCGCAGTCGGAGTGGCCGCAGAGCGGACCTAGCCAGTGCCGCCGCAGTCAGATGGGCGCAAACGCACCACCTGTGATCAGGACGCGGCCAGCGGCTGCAAGGCGGCCAACACCAATGGAGCTGGCCACGCTGGCCAGCCGGAGGCCCCGCCTCCACTGACTGGCGGCCACAAGGGAGCTGCCAAGGAACCGCGCGGGGTTAACACAGCCAAGGCGGCAAGGAAGACCGCATGCCCTGCACCAGCGGGTGGCCGCGGGCCAGTCGATCCGCCTCCTGCTGCAGGCCTGAGGACGAGCCGCGGCTCGTGGCAGGCCAGGAGGCTGCCGCGCGGGCTGACGCGCGGCGCTTTCGGCCGCGCGGGGGCGGGGGCCAGCCTCGCACCGCGCGCGGATGGGTGGAGGGACGCGACGCGCGCCCCACCCCACCCCAAAAGGCGCCCCAAAGACGTTAGTTTCCTCCTCTTCCTCCTCCTCCTCCTCCCCCTCCTCCTCCTCCTCCTCCTCCTCCTCCTCCTCCTCCTCCTCCTCCTCCTCCTCCTCCTCCTCCTCCTCCTCCTCCTCCTCCTCCTCCTCCTCCTCCCCCTCCTCCTCTCCTCCTCCTCCTCCTCCTCCTTCCCCCCCCCCCCCTCCTCCTCCTCCTCCTCCTTCTCATCCTCCTCCCGCTCCTCTTCCTCCTCCTCCTCCTTCTCCTCCTCCTCCTCCTCCTCCTCCTCCTCCTCCTCCTCCCTCCTCCTCCTCCTCTTCCTCTTCCTCCTCCTCCTCCTCCTCCTCCTCCTCCTCCTCCTCCCTCCTGCTCCTGTTCCTCCTCCTGCCCCTTGTCATCCTCGTCGTCGTCGTCCTCCTTCTCCTGCTCTTCCTTCCTTTTCCTCCTCCTCCCAATTGCGCCGAGTCGCTGGATGGGCCAGGCCGAGTGGCCCATCGCCTCATCAAGCAGAAGAGAGGCGAGGCGGCGGCCGTCGAGGAGGCCGACGACCCTCGGCACCTGGCCCAGGTCGGCTCGGCGGCGGCGGACGCCATTCTGGACGAGTGGCTCGAGCTGCGGGTCAAGCCTTCCAGGAAGTCGGAGGAGGAGGCCAGCCAGTGGCAGGTCACCAGTGGCCTGTCGGCCATCACCACCGACCAGGTGCGCGAGGTGGCCAGCAGGTTCCCTCACCAGACGGGCCTCGGCTGGGACAACTTCCACCCGCGAGCCCTCCTCTACCTGAGCGAGGTGCTGCTCCAGAGGTTCGTGGACATCCTCAACCGCTGGGAGAGGAACCCCGTCATGGTGGACCTTTTGCTCACGACGACGGCGTTCTTGCCGAAGCCGCTTCCGCAGCTCGGCCGACGGCCCATCGGCCTCCTCTGCATGTGGGGGCGGGTCTGGTCTCGCGTGCGCCAGGCCGAGGTGCGCCGCTGGGAGTTCAGCGTGGACCAGGCCTTCTTTTGGGGCAAGTCGGGGGACACGGCGTCAGACAGGGCTGCCTATGTCCACAACCTCCTTGTGGTGCACGCCCGGCGCCACAAGATGGTGAGCGGTTCGGTCTTCTTCGACCTGTCCCGGCTCTATAAGAACGTCTCGCACATGGCGCTGAGGCAGGCAGCGCAGCACTACGACTTCGACCTTGGCCTGCACCGCTCACTGTGCGTGCTCTACCGAGGGCAACGCCGAGTCCGTTGGCTTTCTTGCGCGACTCGGGCCATCTGGCCGAATGGCACGGTGGTGGCGGGGTGTTCCTGCGCCACGGGGGGCGTCAAGCTGCTGACCTTGTGCGTGTTGAAGCAAGTGGTGCTCGACGCGCCCGTTTGTCGGCCCATCAACTTGGTCGACGATATCAAGCTGCATGCTGTAGGAGGCTTGCGCACTGTGGCTGGTCAGCTGGTCAAGGCAGTGAATTTGATACTGTCGGCCATGCAGCAGCTCGAGTTGCCAGTCAACACGTCCAAATCTTGTCTTTTGGTTTCAGACAATGAGCTGCTCGACCTTCTCCTCGACGATCCCGAGTGGCCGCTCGATGTGTCGATGCTGTCTCACTCGCATCGGGACCTCGGAGGGGGCGCGGTCGACCGCCCCCGCCGCAGGATCCCGATCCAGGCCGCTCGGTTCTCCGGGGCCCATGCTGCTGCTGGCAGGCTTCGGAAGCTTGGCGGTGGCAGAAATGCTTTTCGTGTGTTCAGGGCGGGCCCCGCGGCCAAAGCTGTTTGGGGGGCTCCCATCCTCGGGGTCAGCAGCTCGGCGATGAGAGGGCTGAGGGTTGCAGCGGCCCGCAGCTTCGGGCCTTTGCAGCCGGGCTCTTCCCTTGGATTTTCTTTGCTGTTCAGCAGCGCCTGGGCGAACGACCCGCTTGTGCACCTCACTGTGGCGGCTGTGAAGACCTTCGTCTCTGTCTGGTGGCACCGGTCGGTCACCCAGGCTGTGTTTTTGTCAGCTTTGGAGGGCGCCCGGGAGACCCTTGGACACAAGAGGCCCTGGGGCGCGGTTAAGCAGCCACTGTCCGCCCTCCTCCTCACCCTTGGCAGGATTGGCTGGGACCTCGACCTGGATTCTGACTGCCTGGTGGACCAGCATGGGGTCTCCTGGGCGATCGGCCGTTTCTCGCCTGCCTTCTTCGAAGGCCTTTGTAGGCAGGCGTGCTGGGATGCGATCGTGGCCGATGAGCAAGGTCGTCAGTCGTCGTTCGTTGGCGAATGGTCTGGTCCGATCTGCCCCCGCCCTGCCCAGGACCTGATTGCGGCCAAGGCCTCGGAAGGCTGGGCGGCCCATCAGTCCCGCGTGCTCCGTGGCCTGATAGCTAACCGATATTGGCGCCAGCAGCGTTTGGCCGAGAAGTGCGAAGATATCCGCCCTTTCTGCCTCCACTGTGGGGAGCCCGGGACCCTCTTCCACCGCCGTTTTGTTTGCCCTGCCCACTCGGCTTGGAGACGTGAGGAACTCTCGAGCGAGGTCGGGGAGGCGGCCAGGTTTCTTTCTGCGCTTTCGGGCCGAGCCCAGGATTTGTTTTCGAGGTCGGTTTTCCCCGACCCCTCGGCCTGGCTCAAGCGCAAAGCGCCCGACCCGTCCTCCTGCTACATGCATCGTCTCAATTGGCCTGCCGACGGGCTCATGTTGGGGACTGGAATGCACGTTCATACGGACGGATCGGCTTTTGAGGGCCGCCTTCGGTCCCAGGGAGTGGCGGGATGGGCGGTGGTCGTCACGGACGGGGAGGGGGTCGTCTTGTCGTGTATTTGGGGGGTGGTGCCCTTAGCTGAGGCACCCTTCCAAGCCGCCTGGGACGGCGAAGATTATGCTGTCCCCCAGCTCTGTCTCAATGCCACCCTCTTCCCCGGAGTCCGCCTCAATATTGATTGCGCGGGCACCGTGGATTGTGCTCGGGACCCCAGGTCCGCTGCGGGCCCCGATAATGCGCGGGCCCACTGGTGGGCCCAGGTGCACGACAAGCTTGACGATTGCTCTGTCTGGAAAGTCCCGTCCCATTGTACAGAGACGGACGTAATCGAAGGCCGCCTGACCCGAGCGCAGTGGCTCGGCAACAAAGCAGCGGATGAGCATGCGCGTCGCGGGGCCGAGCTGTATCGCAGTGACCCCGCTGATCGTCTCGTCATCATCGGCTGTCATGAGATTGCCAAGCAGGTGGCTAGGTACTCGGCCCGTCAGGAGGCCATGATAACGGATGCTGGGGTGTATGACCATGTCCCGCTCGATTGGCTCCGACATGTCGACCTCGGCACATTTGAATTGCCGCCAGACGTCCCAGGGGATGATGGCGGTGGTGTGGGTGGGGCGGATGTCGGAGCGTCGTCCGTCGTCGTCGGAGGGAGCGCTACGGCTAATGGCGAGGCGCAGGACGCTGGCGAGGTGTTATCCTCCCCCGTCCTCCCGCCGCTTCGGGGGGAAGAGGCTTGGGCCCTTCCCAGGCCTTGGAAAGCCAGAGGCCATTCCTGCATCGAAGCTCCAGTGACCTCGGCTGCTGGGGCTCCCTTGGGACCCGTATTTTTTGCACCACTTGCGGTTCCATCGGCCACCCTGGGAGTTCGTGGGGTCGGAGCGCTCTCGTGTCGGACTGCCTGGGGTCCCGTTCCCCAGGCCGCGAGAGGCAATTGGCTTGGATTTTGCAAGGCAAACATCCGTCCCGCAAGGAGTGCCGAGTCGGAGCAGCGTGCTCGCTATCCGACGACTCTCGCACCTTCCTGGCCTCGAAGTTAGGCCTAGGAGGGGTGCCCGTGCTTGGACCCGGCCCCGCCGTCGAGCGGATCGGGGTCGACTTCATCCGAGGCCTTGCGCTATTCGGGTTCTCCTCCCGCGCACAAGCCGAAGGGCTTGGGCAGCAGGTCCTTGACAGGAGACAGCGCGAGGAGGCCGAACTCTCGGATGACGGTATTTGATTTGTTTCTTTGATGCATGTTTAATGTGGTGGCACTCTCAGCTGGTGTGGGTCTCCTTCTCCCAATCCTCCTCCTCCTCCTCCTCCCCCCTCCCATGCTCCTCCTCCCCCTCCTCCTGCTCCTCTTATCCTCCTTCTCCCAATCCTCCTCCTCCCCCTTCCCACAGTCCTCCTCCCCCTCCTCCTCCTCCCCCTCCTCCTCCTCCTCCTCCTCCTCCTCCTCCTCCTCCTCCTTTCCTCCTCCTCCTCCCCCTCCTCCCCCTCCTCCTCTTCCTCCTTGTCTTCGCCGGGGACAGAGAGCCGTGGCCGCGGGGGGCGCGCGCGGGCCGCCGCGGTGAGCGCTGGGGGGGGGGGCAGAGCCCACGCGTCCACGCCGGCCGGGCGGAGCGGGGCGGCCCGCATCGGAGGGGCGCGGCCGAGGCGGCGAGCGGCCTGTGGGGGCGGCGCGCACGGGGGGATTGGATGTCCGTTCTGGGGGCGCTCCTGGGGCCCACCCGACGGAGCTGTTCAACTCAAAAGTTCGATTCAGTCTTGGCTCAGGCTCGACTCGGGATCGACGCAGGGCCGACTCGAGGCGACGGCTGTCCCACGCAGCTTCGACGCACGAGCGGAGCGAGCGTCTCGAGGGAGGTCCCCAGGATGAGCGTCCAGAGGGGGCGGCGCGAGGGTGGCGACTTTCTGAGAGCCCAGGCCGAGCTCTCGTCGCGAGAAAAACATCCCCGAGATCCTGGCGTTGCGATTTACTCACACCGGTTTTTTTTGCCGCGTGTCGGGCCCAGGGGCCCTCACAGATCGACGCGGCTCGAGGAGGGGCGCAGAAAGATGGGGTCTGGGTCTCTGGTCGTGATTTTGTCCGATGTTGTAATTTTTCGCAACGTCAGATCTCAGGGATGATGGGACGTTTTTCCATTTTCTCGGCCTCCTTCCCGGGCTTCGGGACCGTCGAACACGATTCGATTCAGCATCAGTGAGGAGCGGGTCCATGGGAAGGGTCCTGGGTGGGAATTGTGTTTCTCCTCTTGCAGCGCGTAACGGTCGTTGCCCGGGCCAACCACCCACCGTGACCTTCCAGAGTGCTGCAGAAGAGCCCCCCAGACGTATGGACCCATCTGGACCGCCTTGAAACCTCGAGATGTCGAGGCCCCGGTGCTGTTTCTCTAGCCCTCCTGGAAGGTCGGGCCCCCCCCTTGGCACGGACGGTTGGGGCCCTCTCCCTGGGCCTCGGCACCCGACAACAGCTGCTCGGGAGGAGGAGCCCGTCCCTGCGACGGGGACCAGACCTTTGGGGGCTCCACGTCGTGAAAGAGCACACGACCTCGGAAGGGCCCTGGGCTTGGCGGGCCCTGGAAACGACAGGGCCGTTTTTCTTTACCGGCTCCGTGTTGCCGTTTTTGTTGCCGGTTCCGACGCCGTTTTCTTACCGGTTCCGTCGCCGTTTTTTCACCGGTCCCGGCTCCGGTTCCAATCCTGGAACCGTTTTTTGCCGTTTTCGGTCGCCGTTTTTTTGCCGTTTCCTTTTTTTGAAGGGACATGTTTTTTGGAAACGGTGAAAACACGGCCCTGCCGTTTCCTGGGCCCACAAAGGTCCTGGGGGGTTCTTTAAAGGCATGGACCTGCTTGGAATGCGTGCCTCCCGAGCGGGCCGGAGCAGACGGGGTCGCAGGATCGCGCCGCATCGGCGATGCGGCCCCATGTAGATCTCGATGTGCTTCGCACCGACGTCGCCGATGCATCGCGGACGTCGCCGATGCATCGCCGACGCCTCGGCGATGAATCGGCGATGCGGGCGCGATCCTGCGACCCCGTCTACTCGGACCCCGTCTACTCGGACCCCACTTGGGATGCCCCCATACATGGCACGGCGGCTTCCAGCCCTGACCTTCCAGAGTGCTAAAAAATCGCCCTCCAGACCTGTAGACCTACCTGGACTGCGTGAAACAGCGACAGGAAATTCAGAGGCCGAGGTCCTGGTGCCCTGTCTGAGCCCTCTTGGAAGGTCAGGGAAAGAAGCCACCCGCTTCCGGAGGCGCCCCCCCCCCAGGCGCCTCAGAAGGCCGCCCCCCTCGCGTCACCGCCCCGTGGGCGCCCCTGGCCTGCGCCAGGGGCCCGCCCACACCTCCGGCAGCGCACCAGCGCCGTGCACCACCGCCCGGCCGCAGCCGCAGCCGCGGAAGAGGAAAACCTCCGCGTGAAATTCGCGATAGTTTTCCCCTCCCAGAAGCAGCCGCAGCCGCGGCGGCCACCACCGTCTGGCCGGGGCGGCCCCTGGGCAGCGGCAGGGTGCACGGGCCCTCCCAGCCTCGGCCCTCGGCCGTGATGGCGCCCTCACCTCGCCGGGGCCCAGGATGCCCGGAGAGCCTGGCGCTGCCATGTTTGCAGCACGGGCGTTCCCGCCCCGTGCCGGGCTCTGTGACCCTCACAGATCGAGCTGGCTCGAGGAACGGCGCAGAACGATGGGGCCCAGGGCTCCAGTCTTTGATTTTTGTTTGCGATCTGGCAGTGTTTTCGCAACGTCAGCTCTCAGGGTCGGCCCTCGGCCAGGAGGGCGTCCACGCCTCGCCGGGGTCCAGGATAGAGGGCAGTTGTTAGTACGTAGGATGTTTTAAAATATAGGGTTTTGATACATGAATAATTCATGAATAAATTTATGCATGAACTCATCGTTGTTTCTAATACTAAATCCTTGCATTTTTAATACATGATCCGCACGCGGAACATTGTATTAAAAACGGCACTGTAGCCCTGGCCAGGCGGCGTGCGTGAGGCCCAGCGGTCGGGGGACCTCGGGCGGCGTCGGCGCGGGGGTGGCTTCCCGCCCCCCAGGCGGGGGCGGGAAGGCATCGTTTTCTGGCGCCCCGCGGGGTCCTCGGGCGCGTCCCCAGATCTAGGGGAACAAAAAGTGACATAAACATAAAACTCGGAAGTCCGCGCGGATTTCTCGGATCGGTGCTGGGGCCACCCAGCGGCGCCTCCGGCGCCGCCCCTGGCGCGCTCCGCGCGCCAGGGAAGGGGGGTCCAGCGCCGATCCGAGAAATCCGCGCGGACCTCCGAGTTTTTATGTTTATGCCACTTTTTGTTCCCCTAAGATCGGCAGGTGTGGATACGCCCCCGGCGCGGCGATTGGCGCGCGGGCGCGCGGGGGGCAAGCGCTGCGCCTCCCCGTCCACATACCTCTCTGGCCTCGCGAAAAGTTCGAAGCAAAAGACTCTGAAGCCTTGTCTGCGGGCTTTCTTGTGTCGTGCCTGGCTCTAGTCGGGGAAACGTAAGACTCGAGTACGCCAGAACTCAGGTGCCGCCAGCGCTTTTTGACGAGCGCGTCCTGGATTTTGATCGACCAGTTTGCGTGGGATGCTTGCAGCGGGAGCTCGAGTCAAATTTCAGATTGGGTCTCGTCATTTTCATGATGGCCCATGTGTGTGTCTGGGTCTCGTTTGTGTCCCCTGGGACGGTCTTAGCCCGACTGTCGGAGGCGTCGGCCCGTCGTCTGTGACTGTCTTGGGGCGGCCTGCAACAGCTTGGGGGCATGCCTGGGTTTTGGGTAGTGCAGACAGTGGCCAGGGAGCGGCGCTGGGCAGCAGCACCAGGAGGGGCCACTGTCTGAGGATGGTCGCGACGACGGGGGGGGTCGGCCCTCGAATCCCAGAGTCACCACGGGAACCCTGCGAGGCAGCAGGAATGTCTTCCAACACGCCCCAAGCTGCCGCTGGCACTGTGGCAAATCTGTGCGACGACGCCGTTCGATGCACGAGCGCCAGGACCGTGGCCCATCCATGGCGCGCTGCCTTCGCCCAAGAAGCACATCTCGCCACCAATCCGGCGGTCACGAGCATCCAACGTCTTACCAGTGGCCCAGCCCCTCTCCTGGCTTCCATCGCGTCTCCAGCCACAGATGTGGTGCCTGCTGTCGCCGACCCTCACACGATCAACCTGCGAGAGCGTACTTCGACATCTACCAGCCAGGCAACATGACCTTCCTGGAGCTACCGCAGCGAATGTGGTGTTGGTGAAGGCTGACGCCAGGCGCAAGGGTGGTGACCCATGTTCCGTACTTCTAAGGTTTAAACCATCTCCTGGAAGGAGACGACCGAGAGTATGGGGATACGCTCCCTTGTGGCGCCGCACGGAGCCCCCACAGCGCCATCGGACCCTTGGATGCATTCTTGCAAGGTGGCCCTCGCACTGATGCACCGCAAGCAGGGCGTCGATGCTCTGGAAAGTGACACTCGGAGCGAGGCTGCCAGACTGGCCACGACGTCGGCGGCCTCCTCTGAGCGGATCTTACCAGTTTGAAGCATATCCCTATCCCTATGTTTGATATCACCTCACCTCGATGCCGATCTTAAGGATTCCCTCAGTTTCTGAGGGCCTATCCCTAAGATTGTCCTCGCTTTTTGCTCGCCCATCTTAGGGATATGGATAAGTTCGAGGCTGGTTAGGATCCGCGCGGCCTGCATTTTGCGCTCCTCCCTCCTCGAGCTGCGGGCCCTGCGCGGCAGCACCGCGGCCCCCTTCGACGACGACCTCCACGCGCCGCCGCGGGCCGCACTCGCCGCCCTCCTCGCCCCGATCGGCCGCACGCCGAGCGCGCCGCCCGCCGGGCCCGCGCCGAGAGGCAGCGGGCGGTCCCGGCCTCGAGGAGCCCGCGTCGCCACGCCTCTGGATCTCCCTCCTCCTCCTCCTGCTCCTCCTCCTGCTCCTCCTCCTCCCCCTCCTCCTCCTCCTCCTCCTCCTCCTCCTCCTCCTCCTCCTCCTCCTCCTCCCCCTCCTCCTCCTCCTCCTCCTTCTCCTCCTCCTCCTCCTCCTCCTCCCCCCTCCCCCCCCCGCCTCCTCCTCCCCCCCTCCTCCTCCTCCTCCTCCTCCTCCTCCTCCTCCTCCTCCTCCTCCTCCTCCTCCTCCTCCTCCTCCTCCTCCTACTCCTCCTCCTCCTCTTTCTCCTCATCCTCCTCCTCCTGAGCTTCCTGCGCAGGCTCCCGAGGGGCGGGTGCCTCGACATGTCGGCGCGCTGGTGCTTGGCACCGCGGCCAGCGCTTCGACTCGCGGTGCCGTGCTCGGCGGTGGCTCGGCCCCAGAGGCCCGCGGGGGGTCGCGGCAGAGCGGCGCATCTGCAAGATCGGCCGCCGGCCTTGGGCTCCTGCCTCTCAGCAGCCACACATCCGCATTCTGACGGGGCTGCGTCCCCACTGATGGCACAGTGTCAGGAGGGAACAAAAACACACAGACACAATGAATCGTCGATTCCCCAGAAAATATAGGGAAATATCGGAAGTGGGGGGGAAGACAAAAACCATGGACATATGGGAAAAGATGGGGGATCTTTTTATTTGTGTGTATTTATTTGTGTGTCCCAGGGCCCGTTCACAGTGGCACTCCCCAAGGGCCCGCCAAGCCGCCCGCTGGGCAAGGCCTAGCGAGGGGCTGTCGTTTCCATCTGCCCTCCGCAGGAGCCGCAGCGCTTCCTGGCAGTTGATCGGCGCCGCCTCCGAACGCCTGAAGCTGGACCGAGCCCTCTCCTCCCTCCACGCTTTTTGGGGCAACCGCGCTGCCCGCTCCATGTCTTGCTGGTTTCGCGCGCTGTATGTTGCACGTCTGGTAGCAAGTGTCAAAAGGCTCACGCTGGTTTGAGTGAATTGTGTGGTCGCTGGGGTGCCCCTCCAAAAACAAAAGACTCCTCCTTTCTGCTGCACCCTGAATGACAACCCGCTGGTGTTAGGCGCGCGCGCCCATGCCACGCAGTGCTGCCAGACGAACCTGACTGAGACCCTCGTTAGAGCCAGATGCGCCCGCTGCCACAGAGCACCGCGGCCCCTCCGCAGCCAGGGCCAAGGCAAGTTCTGGCTGCCCCCCGGTCAGGGTGCAAAAGAAGCGAGCCAGTAAACGCCGCTTGTTGAAAGCTGTCCTACCTCTGAAACAAAGAAAGGGCTTAATCACAAGTTCTTGAGGTCCGTGCAGAGTGTTGGGATCTGCGCTGGGCCTCCTGTTTGCAGGGAGGGGGTCCGGTGCCGATCTGAGAAATCTGCGCGGACCTCAGAAACACTGTGAGTATGCCTTTTTGTTGTCCCTCTGCTGCTCGACCTCCGAAGTCTGCGGATGCCCTCTGGAGGTCTCCGAAGGGTCCCAGCGCTCGAGGCCTCCCGAGGCTCCCGGGAACCCCCAGAGAGAGGCTCAAGAAGAGCGAAACAATCAGGAGGGGAAAAAACACACAGACACCATGAATCGACGATTCCCCAGAAAATATGGGCAAATATGGGAAGTTGGGGGGGGAAGACAAAAACCCAGAAAATATTGAAAAATATTGGGAACATGTTTATTTGTGTGTCTTTATTTGTGTGTCCCAGTTCCCTTTCAAACAACCAAACTCCCATGCCGTCTTTTTGTTATTCGCTGCGTCGCCGATCGTCGCGGGTCCCTGGCCTCCCCCCTCCCCCGTCCGCCTGCAGACCAGGTTTTGGGTGTTCTCGGCGACCGGTCGGGACACCTTCCCCCCCCAATCCTGCCTGCGCGACAGGCAGAAAAGCAGATCGACGGAGTGCTGGCCCAGACCCAGACCACCCCCCTTCCCGCCCGTCGGCCAGAGGTCGAGGCCCAGAATATAGAAAAGCGCCCACTGCAGTCCACGTCCGCGTCGACGTGTGCTCTCCTACCGCGGTGCCCTCAGGAAGACCTGGGACGAAGATGCATCGTTCAAGAGCGCCCTGGAGCCCTCTCGGAGCATTTGGCAAAGGCTGCGGAGCGGCTGCGGCGCCGGATGCATATCCTCTTGCCAGCTCTGGGCCATTCCCCACGTGTCCTCTCCTCCGTCTCCTCCTCCGCTCCACGGGATTCCGCAGGACAGGGGTACAGAGCCGTTTTTAATACATGCTCCGCGTGCGGATCATGTATTAAACATGCAGGGATTCAGTATTGAAAGCAACGATGAGCTCATGCGTAAATGTATTCATACATTGATCATGTATTAAACATCCGATATTAAACAATTCCTATTATTAAAAGCTGCCCTGTAGGTATTTGGTAGCACGGCCCAGAGCGAACCCCTCCCCCAGGACGTGCTAGAGTGCTGAGCGTGCGGGGCCTTCTGGCCCTCCTCCGCCTTCGCCTCGAGCCTTTGTCCTTCTTCCCCCTGGGCTCCCGAGTCTAGCCCATCCTGTGGGGTTGGTTTCACCTCCTGCAGTCAAAAACCCGAATAAGGACGCGCGACTTTGCTCAGGGTACCCTTGCGTCCTTGCTCTTCCTTGCTCTTGCGTCCTTGGGGTGTTCGTCGTCCGCCGCCCCAAAAATCCCAACTTCGGCTTCCAAGGGTATTGCGTCCTTACCGCGCGTCCTTATTAGGGTTTTTGACTGTAGCCCGTCCTGTGGGGTTGGCTTCACCTCCTAAATCTGAGCTCGAGCTCCCCCCCTGGAGGACGGGGAGGCAGTGCCAGGCCACCCCTCGAGCGGTCCGCAGT